GGAAACCGGCACCCCAAATCTCTGACTTCAGGCAGCGAAGAGCTTCCGCAGGACCCCAGGTCTGAGATCCATATGGTAATCGTGCTCATCGGCATGTCCGGGGAAGTGCTGCCTATAAGCTCCGAGCAGGGTTATGTCTCTAGAGTGGGGCAAGTTACAGAGCCCAGCGGCCAAGGCAGAAGATTGGTAACTGCAGAATTAGAGGGCCCAGAATATTAAGGCGGAAGATCGGTGTTGCAGCTGCAGAACTAGAGACTAGCACAGCATGGCAGGAGAGAATGGTTATTGTAGCTGCAGAGCTAGGGAGCCCATCAAGCCAGGAATGGACCTACGTTGATAGCGCAACCTGTCAGAACCATTTGCGCAAAATGTCCTATACAAGATGGGGTAGGGCAAATTTTGATTAAGGGGGGTGCCCGAGTTTAGTCTTGCCTAGGGCAGCACAAAACCAAAATACACCACTGGGTTTATGTGCATAAATCAAGTTGTGCATTTTTGTGAGCAGATTCTAGCTCATTGATGTTAATGGGTAGATGCACGTTTTCAAGTGTTTGCTATTGAGTCTATGGGGCCAAAACGAGCTGTAGTATGCAAAAAACAAAGCTCCTGTACTTTTTCTAGTGACAGGCAATTTGCTTATTGTGACAAAACGCTCTGATGTGAACAGAACCATAAAAATGAATAGGATTTTTTTGGGGCAGAAAAAGCGCTACAGAATGCTCAGTGTAAACCAGGCCCAAGTGCAAATAGAAAAAAAAAAAAGCTTGCTCATTGTGTCAGAAATTCAGAGCTATTCCTCCCAGTTCTTATTTTGCAGAATAATTAGTGCTTATCCTGGGGTAGGTGATGATGATAAGGGGGAGAGAGGATTCAGTAGTTTAACAACTGACATCTGGGCATGGGCATGTGATGTCATGCCACAATACGGCATTAGGATCTGAGTGCATTTCTGCCGAGCACCAGGTATTTTTGTGTGTGTGCAGGGTCTCTGAAGGGAAATGTGCATGTACTGAAGACGTATACTGCATTATATTTATTATATATTTATGAAAGGGACTCTTTACAGATCCTCTGCAGTACACGTCTGTGCGTTACTAGCTATGAACAATAGAAGTCAGTATAGAGCACATCCCAGCCGGCTAGTCCAGCCAATCAGAGCGTACGTATCAGCTCTACTCCACTAGACCAGCCTTTTTCCTTACGCAAACCTACCCATTGGCTGCAGTCGTGACTTCCGGGGCCGGAAGTGTGTGCTGTGTATCTGTGTACGTTCTGCGTAGCTGTTGCTTTGTGCGGTGAGTAGCTTTGTGTGAAGAGATCGGAACGAAGGCGGTTCGGCCCTTTATGGTCGGTATGTAAGTTTCTGGGGGGTACCGACACACACTGATGAAGTATTCCTCTGAGGTGGCGGCTGTTTCCTGATTTGACTTAAGGCCGGTAATAGAGAGCCTTTGTCGTATGTGGTGGGCCAGGCTGTGTATGGATGGAGGGACGTTGTGAAGCTTACAGGGGGGCTAGCTGTGCTCCTTCTTCCCGTCACTGAGTTGCAGTATTGGCCCTGGGTGTATATAAATTATTTTCTCTCACTGTGTTTATATACGTGTTTTTCTTATCTTATGTCAGCAGTTAAGCTGAAGCAGAATGGTGGCTCTGAGTTTTAAGACCTCCATTTAATTTCTAATCTACAAATCCTTCTAACTAAAACATGAAAGATCGAATATAAAATAGTTGGATCAAAATTGCTTTAAAGTGAATGTTTTCCTCATGCAGAGCCAAGCTGTCCTTAAAGTGGAACTAAAGTGAAGATATGTAAAACTTGCCAGCACTTATTGCAGAAGGGACTTGCTATGTTTCTTCTGAATAAAGCAGATTTACCTGCCTGCTCTCTATCCTCTATGAAATGTACATTGAGCTGAGCTGATCTGTGAATACGCAACTTGGTGTACATTGTCGGCACACCTTGGTGCCAGGATGAATGGACTCTGGTGCTCATGTGTGGCAGTTACATCATTCCTCTGCCAGAAGAAGCACCTGGAAGATGTCGGAGCTCAATTGGGTTGAGTTGCTTGGGTGGAGGTGAGTATTTGCGTACATTAGTTCTGGTTTACAGAAGTCTCACCTTTGTATTATTTCTCACAGCTCGGTCACCTAACTCCTACAGTGTATGTTGCTTTTTACCCCATGCTTCTGTGTAATGTATAAACTGAGATGCAAACTTTGACAGCCCCCTCCTCTTCATCCTAGACTGCCTCTTGATTTGACAGCTCTTGTCACTGTCTCTGCACTTTCCAGGCACAAGTAAGGTAAGAGGAATACAGAGGAAGATGGCACACTCTCACAGGAATCAGCACAGGTACGAGAGCTGGAAGAGGAGCCTTGTTTTTTGTCTGGAAAGTACAGACTGTGAGAATCAAGAGGCCATCAACTTTGCAGATCCGGAGTAAGTTGTCAGTCTGTATCTCAGTTTGTACATCACACAAAGAACAACACACACTGTGGAAATAAGGTGACTGAGCTGTAAAAAAATAATGCACGGTGAGACTTCTTTAACTTCTGCCCCCTCCCCAAGCTGTACATGCTTGTCTTCCCTTTACTTATCCACTGTTCAAGCACTAGGAGTGAAGTGATACCCGGTTCCTCATCTGTTTTTCATATGTTGAGTGCATATGTGTGGGATCTTTCTGCTTGTGTTTGGTGGATTATATCAAAATTGGGGTATGCAGAAACTAAAAAGCCGCAATTAACAATAAATATCAATTTATAAGGTGCCTTTGTTATTTGGAAGATTCTGGTGAAGTTCCTCTTTAATAAATTCAATTTAATTTTTTTTTTTTCCCTCTGTTGTGGTCTTATGCGTCACTCATGGACGTGCGCAACTATACAGCGTGCACGTCTGTGCAGAGACCTGCGCCCTGGATTGACGTGCTGCTTGTAGCCATCTGTAAATCTCTGACAGGATGCGGCTGCACGCAGCTACATGCCAACCCAAACTTGCACATCCATTCATACAGATAGACCGTCTGCATTCAGGGGCGTGCATCTGTTCGGTTGTCCAAGTTTAGGTCGGCGTGTAGCCGCATCCTGTCATATGGAGGTACAGATGGCTACACGCAGCACCTGTTTCTCCCAGTCACAAGGCTTTACACGGACGTGCACACTGTGTGAATGGGGCCTTAAACCCAAGGCTTGATTGACACAGCGCAACATTTTTGTTCAGCTTGGTATTTTGTGGGTATGAGTGTCTTCATGGTACGTGTTGATCATTATAAACATACCAGTAGAGATGACTGTTAAATCGGGACCGGACAAATCCCAACAGCAGATAACTATTCGGTCTTAAATTAAAACAAATTTACAACTGGCGCCTTTTTTTAATTTTATTACTAAAATGGGTTCCCTCTCTTTAAAATCCTTGACTGTGTCTAGATGAAACTGTCTGGCTCCTGTATTCTAGATCACTTTGTCCAACTCTGTTCTAAACTATCTTGACCTTTTATTGAGTGTGATATTGTATTAATAATGTAACTTCCAGCATGTATGCAATCCATATGGCTTTAAAATCTCTTTGGCTAGGATTCCTGACAGTTTTATTTGCTGTAGCATTTTTTCGGGTTTACTGTTTGAGGTCTTGAGATTCACAACTTTAATCTTTAACCTCCACTTATGCCGCTTGGCTAAATGTCACTTAGAATAGTGTCTATTCGGTTGTTATGCTGTCCTTTCCACTCCACCTTGAAATTGGCACCTTTCATAGACCATACACTGCTGGTTTCAATGCAGTTACGTTGTTAATTTGATGTGAAAAACCATTATTTTTTATTTTATTTTTTACCCTTCTCAAGTTTTACCACAGTTTGGGTGACCAAAACAGTTCAGTTTTACTTAATAAATGCATACTTGTACATCCTACAGTAACCGGACACAAAAGATTATACTGCTGTACCATTGCAGTTACATTGTTAATCCAATGTAACATTAATTTAATTTTTATTTTTACCTTTTTCACGTTTACCTAAGTTTGGATGACAAAAAAAAAGAAAATCCTCTTTCTATAGTAAATGCTGTCAAGATCTTTTGTATTTGGTTTGGATGGGCCTATTCCTCAGAAAACAGCAGTTAGTGATCTTTTTTTTTTCCTTCCTGGGTTGGGCTGCATCTGCCTTTAAAATGAATCTGTGGGGCTCCTTGCAAATACAAAGCTACAATATATCTCCAGTATTAATAGTTTATTTTCTTGGTCTTTGTGGTGTTCAGACTTTTCTTGCACTGAGGCCTTTGTTTCTGTGTTTTCTACATGTTTTGGGGCTATCTTGATTTTTCTACCGTCAAATCACATCAGTGGTTGAGTTGCACAGTATTCTTATGAGCCACACAAGAGGGACATAATTCAAATCAAGAGATGAACATTCCATGTTCTTTATGCATGCATTACTGTCCTTGTCATTGAATAGTAAAAACAAATCTGTCATACTTTTTCTTTCTCTGCAAGCACCTTTCTTGGTGTTACATGTAGTTTCTTTTTTGCCATTTGTGCCCCTTTCAATTTAAACTTTGCGTGTTCAGATAATGGTTATTTTAAGAGCTACAACGTTAATTCACGGAAATGTCATTTTTGCAACATGCAATTTGTAGTTCTGGTATTTTCTGAGAAATGGTGTTTCATCGAGCAGTAATAGTTTAGCTCTGAAATGCTTGAATTCCTTACATTTTCTGTCATCCTCCCTGAACATCCTGTGGCTAGTGGCATGTCAGCTCTTACGTGAAAGACCATTTCTTTTCTGATTTTTAAAAATGTTTTCCGTTTATGCCCTAGACTTGATGTTGATATTGTAATTATATGTTTGACTAAAATTACTTGTTTTTCTACAGAATTTCTTGGCATCTTTATTCTTAAGAAGATTCATCAGTATACCCAGTTACCACATTTTCAAGCGTTTGTACACTAGCTGCAGGACTTAATCCTTGTTCTTGCTTACTTTGCTTTCCTTTTTTGAAAATCTGAGAGCATAGTCCCATAATGTCTAAGTTTCCTCATTCATCCCTGAGCAGAGATATGCCTGATAAACACAGACGTGATGCATCCAGAATGGGCCCTTTCTCGAGTAATCAGCCTTTATCATCCGGCTTTGGTCGATTAGGCCCAAGCTCTAGTCGTCTCACCAGCTTGTTGGACATAGGTCCAGCCTCTAAATTGGGCCCACAAGGATCCCATGGCATGATGCCCTCTGGCACCTTTTCTCAAAACTTGCCGTCCATTTTTAGCCTTAGTAGTAGAGGTCCACCACCTTCTCAACCATCCAGAGATCCTAATCAGGCTGGAAAAATATTGGCCAGCTTTGGTCTTTCCTCTAGTGACTTGGATGAGTTGAGTCGCTACCCTGAGGAAAAGATCACCGCTGAGAACTTGCCTCAGATTATTGAGCATCTTAAAAGAAGGAGGTCAGAAGACATAGCCCTGCTAAGCTACAGAGAGAGACTCTCTCGCGATACGCCAAGGCCTTTGCGCGATGACTGGGATGACCTCAGGCCCATCCGAAGAGAGAGTTTTGATGATCGCCCGTCTAGTCTCAATCCTGTGGTTGACTATGATCATGGGGACCGCTCTCGAAAACTTGCTTATCGAGAGAGACTGGATATGGATGAACGGCTAAGAGATCGAGAAAGGCTTAGAGATGACCGCTTCTCTTCTGAACCCCCTTTTCGTAAGCTTGAACGTGATTATGATCGCTTGAGTTACATTCAGACAGAAGAAAGATCTATGTATGACAAGTCAAGAGGAATGCCAACCAGTAGAAGTATTGATGATTTCCATGGACTTGCGCCTAAAGACTACCCCCATCTCTGTACTCTGTGTGATATACCTTGTAATTCTATTAAGGTGAGTTGTACCCATCTCATCCCTCTTTCTGAAGTCTCTATCAATTTTAGTTTTAATGTCATGCAAGGGGTATGACTTTTTCTCTTAGCTGTGTCAATAGTCCTGTTTGCTTTGCTCCACAAAACACTTTTTATAATCTACCATCTTCACTGCTTTATTTCCAAACAATTCTTAGTTTTCTTCTGAATCTTGTCCATTATTAATGACATGTCCTAAACCTCAGAACTACTTTATAGCCACCAAGTTTTTGCTCAACATAGACTGACCGCTTAAAAACAGGTGATGAGGACTTATGCCCAGTATTATGCTGATTGGCTAAAGGGTAATTCTGCCTCAACACTGAACTCATGGTACAAAAACATGCATTTGAATATATTCCTCAATAGCCACAAAGGATTATACTTTGTGTGCACCAGATAACTTTTGAAAACCCAGTTAATACCTTGGAAAAGTAGTGGTGACATCATCACTTAGCTGGATATTGCCTGTGCACAAAACAGAGCTGTGGGAGGGACCCAGCACATCCACACTCTAGAACACCCGCTTCCCAGGCAATCAGGAAGCTGGGCAGTGGGTCATGGTCCGCCGCCCGGCTTCTTGATAATAGGGGCACACAGAACTGGTATCTGTATTCGGTATTGGCGAGTACCGAAAAAAAATATTGGTACTCGATACCGAAAAACTGGTATCGGTGCATCCCTAATAGTAATTATAATTTAAAAATAATAACTTTTCTTTTGGGGGTCACCACAACTTGGCAAATGTTACCATGGGGCCTCGGCCCTAGAAAGGTTGAGAACCACTGCTTTAGAGGCTGCCTGAACAAATAAAAATACAAGCGTGGGGCATATAGAAGACCAAGTCTTTTAAGGAGGGAGAGTAGAATTCTTTGGCGTTTAACACAGAAAACTCCTGCACTGAAGCACTTTCACACTGGGTTACTGTACAGATCTAGAAGAAATACACAATGCACATGAACATGCCAAGTAGATTTACACATTACTTTTTGTATTGAGACAATCTGTGCTTAGCCCGGAGCTACTTATCAGCTTTAAACACCTGTCTTTAGCCACATACTGAAGAAGCCTTCACAGTTTGCCAGATACATTATGCACTTCTATTATAATAAAGGCTCTAGATTCTATAATCTCCTTGAGCACTGCATTTGGTTGAGCTAATCTTGTTGTCATGTTGTCCTTAAGCGATTATAGCTTACTTGCCCTCAAACTTTTCAGCCAGTTCTTGCTCTTCTATTTTGAACTGGACAAAACACAATACAAATGTATCCCATTTTCATTATCTTTTTGATGCTTCCAGAGATGGGATCAGCTCATCCAACCCTAAGGCTTTCAATCTGTGCCCATCTTGTCAAGCTGCCCTTACCCCTGCCTGTATGGGTCTAGCTGTCTATTATTATATAACATTTGTACTCTCCTTTTTATAAGCTGGCCACTTTAGTTTGGCTTTAATTTTCCATTCTTCTAAATCCATTAAGTCTTTCAAGTAGTGAGGTTATACAAAAGGAACTTAACAAGTGGCACTTAAAACCTCTAAAAGCCAAGCAGCTACATTTAAGTGATATGTTCATATTTGGAAGGGTATACTATTTCTTCCATGACTCCTAGATTTAGCCATTTGAGATTTTGATTGTTGGTGAGAGGGGTAACATGTCCAAATGGTCTAATTCATCCTTGCATCTTATGTCACTTTCTGTTCCCTGCACTTGAAATACTTTACAAATCAACTCCTCCTATTGTATTTGGCACGTCTTCTGCCTGTTGAGGAATCTGTGTTCATTTGAACACCTAACTTTATTTGATCAGGTACTCGGCTTTCATTCAAGCCTGATACACATACCGCTTCATTAGTCAAGGAGTACCCTGTTCTTTTATGCAAAAGTAGAGTGAGTTAGATCTTGGTTGGTTTGCTTTAAAGGTGCCCATACACATTGCAATCATCGGACTGTCGTATGATTTTCGTACGGCGGCCCCATCATGCACCAACCATCGCACAGTTCAATTAGCGGTCTTTAGCAAAATCAACTTGCCGAATCTCGTTAATTGACGGCACGGATTTTCGTTTGCGCATGAGCCGTGTTAATCGTGCGATTTTTGAAGTACGAAAATGCCACCAGCCTTGCGAATTTCGTACAATTCGACAGAAGTTTTCTAGCCTGCTGGAAGTCAAAAGTCGTACGATTGTACAGTATTTGTGGTTGTACACTGCCCATCAACCTTGCGAAAAGGCGATCGCAAACGAAAATCGGCCAATATTCGTTAGGTGTATGGGCAGCTTAACACTTCACTTTTTTTGGGATTCACTTTCTTCTCAGTCTTTGCAAATCCATTGTGTCTTCTGCAGCTTGGTGTACAGGAAGACTAGTGTTTCATCTTTGTTGATATTCTACCTTTAGTATTCTGTGTAGAAACATCAAAAATTATACTTTTCAAATAGTTTTTATAAAGGGCCCCTAAAAAAAAGTCAGCCTGTTATATTAAAAAGTGACCCCGCTCAGAACAGACGGAAATGTTGAGTTACTTGGGTATTGTGAAGCATATACCACTTAATTCTGATGCCCAAGTAGCATCACCAGTCAGCTGGAACGTCTGGTGCAGAGAAAGGTATGTAATCTAGCATGCTGAAGCAAAGATCAAGTCCACCCATTTTTTTTGTGCATATCTTAAAAGTAGCTCCAGTCTAAACTCATATTTTGGACAGAGCGTTGAAGGCGTGAGAACATCTCTCAGGTTTTTATAACCAACTGTGACCATTTGGTGAAGTTTCCTTTCCTTTGTCCTACTGACCACACTGGAACCCAAAGGGAATCTCCTCAATGGCATTAGACAGTAACAGCCTGGCAGAGGTTCCATCACTTCTCTTTCCAGTATCAGCTGAATATGGGCTTTTAGGCTCAACACTTTCTGTAGCTTGAAATAAAATTGTCGTACTAATGCTTTTCTTTTCTTTTTTTGTAGAGCTGGAATGAACACATCAATGATAGATACCATAAAAAGCAACGTCTGCTGTTGCTGGAATTGTACGTGAAGTATTTTAGTTTTCTTTCCTGTCATATGGGCACATTATAACTACATTTTCTGCCCTTCGTTGTGGCAATTAACAGTATGTTTGACAGCCTTTCAGGTACCAAAGCTTTAATTACATGTGCCAGGTAGTTGTTAAGCAAAAGAAAAGCTGACTGGACCAACTTTTTGGTTGGTCAATGCAGGACATAGCCACAGGTTCATTTCTTTTTTTCTTGGCCATTGAGTGACACAGGAGGTCTTTCAATTTTGGATTATAGCTCTGCGCACAGGAGGATTTGACACTGGCAAAACTGTTGGTCCAAAAAAGATTTAAAGACTCCCAAGAGAAGAATGGATGTCTTCTCTTAAAGGATCGATAAACCCTCGTGCTTTTGTGCATACAGGTGAAACTCGAATAATTAGAATATCGTGCAAAGTTCATTTATTTCACTAATGCAACTTAAAAGGTGAAACTAATATATGAGATACTCATTACATGCAAAGTAAGATAATTCAAGCCGTGATTTGTCATAATTGTGGTGATTATGGCTTACAGCTCATGAAAACCCCAAGAACCCCAAATCCACAACCTCAAAAAAGTAGATTATTACATGCAATCAATAAAACAAGGATTGTACATAGAACAATATCGGACCTCTGAAAAGTACAAGCATGCATATGTACTCAGTACTTGGTTTGGGCCCCTTTTGCAGCACTTACTGCAATTACTTTTGCACGATATTCTAATCGAGTTTCACCTGTATATCTACTGCTAGCAGGCAGTAGATAGATGAAAAAATATTTTAAGAAAAACCAAATGTGTTTAAACTTAATATGCTGCGCTAGGTTGTCATAATGAACTGAAAATCAGCATCAATGTACCTCCTATTGGCTGTGATGTGTGTATCAATTGATAAGAAACAATCCTAAAAAAAGTGAATCAAAATAATTTTCACACGGTTTATACCACGCACTGTTGCAGCTGGTTACTTTTTAGATATTATTTTTCTCCTGGCGCAACCACTTGTTGTTTTTAAACTTACCTGTGTCTCTGCCGCGCACTCCCGTCTGAAGATCTGAAGATTCTCCGGCAGCATCTCCAGCCCCCCTTCCTCCCCGCAAACTTTCATTAGCTCTCCTGCCACTCTACAGTGGATTTGTGAATAATAAATGTGTAGTATATGGCTCCCATGTGATCGCGTTGGTTTTTTTGTGATTGACCCAGCATTGTCACATGGGAGTCCTCGGCTCTGTGTAAGCTCAGACTACTGATTTAAAACTTTTGCTTGTTGGTTTAACAGAGTTCCCTGGCTCCTGTAAATTGTACTTTCTAATTTTATACAATCATTTGTCCATCCTTGGGTTAATAAATTAAACAGCCGATCAAGATCAGGATTTCTATGTGAGAGATTTATTTTGCAGGTACTCATCTTGCTGAATACACTAAAATATTGCTTTTTTTTTTTTTTTTTTTACTAATTTTCCTATGCAGATTTCCAGAATGGAATGGACTTGGGCTGTAAGTATTACAGATAACATGCACCATACCTACACTATGCACTTGTATTAGATGTTGACTTTTGTTTATTGGCACTAAGCCCTGTCCCTAGCATTCAATAGTCCTGTGTCACAACTGGTATTGAACTACTGTAAAGGAGGGGTTTTAGTATTGTGGGGGCAGAGCCAGTTTGCACTAAAGTTTTGGCTACTTTGGTATACTGCTTGGAACTGGAAACCAATGATCCCACAGGGATTGCATTAAAGTGCTCCTCAAATTGCCTGCACTTTAGAAGTGTTCCATTAGGTTTAACCTGTCAGTTACCACAAACCTGCTAACTAACCCCCTAACCATT